CCCTTTAAATTACATTTAGTTATGAAATGTTGTACATTGTGTTATAAAATAACTGTGATGTTATATATTAAATTAAATTTGACCAAAGGTAACACATGGCTCAAATGGGTTCCAGAGCCGGGCGAGAGACAACCTCTGCACTCGGAGAACAACGTGGAACTGATTGACAAGATACTTTTGAAGGATGAAGATAACAGAATGTCAATGCAACAAAAACTATAAAAGTTGTACATAGTATTACTACAGCCAAAAGATTCAACAAGTTTTGATGATTTTAAAAATAAAAACAATCTAGGTGTTGGGATTTAAAAACTTTTTATTTATTAATTTAGGGTATAAAAGATGTCAAATCAATGATGGTTTTATAGTCATGATTAATATAATGACCTGTGCCTTAGGCAACTTATGTTGCTTTTCGTCGTATGGAATGTGGTCTAAAGTGTATTTAATTTTTGGGTTAGCTTGTATTTGTGAAATTTATCCTTTTATGTTTAACACATCTAGGACAAGGTAAAAATTAAATAACAAATATTTGAAGCTAATATCAGACCTCATATTTAAATGACTTTATTTAGGAATGCTCCTATGGTGAAGAATTAATAAAATTAAGTTTAGTAAGATGGAAATCTACAGGCTGAAGATATTGAAGTAGTAACATATGTGATTGAATTTTAAATCGAAGAGACTGGGTTCCTCAGAGACTGAAGAGAATGAAAGTAAAAGAAATGAAAGGAGGGGGGGGGTTGAAGGAGAAAAGGAGTTGATCAACAATTAGAGATAATAGGGGTCCTTTATATTTAAAGTATCTAGCACCCTGAACAAAATCTATTTAGGTGGTATTAAATTCAGTTTGTAGAAACCTGAAATTTGTTGTATAAGTGTGCTACTAAGTTGTTGACCGAAAGAAGGTGGACAAAGGTAGATTAGGATTCTATGTAATATGGTAGATTATGAATTTTAATAAATTGTTAGATAATGTTTAAGTGATTACTAAATTAAAACTATTGGATACATGTTTAATATATGAATTGACCAAGAAATAATGAAAGAGAACAAAATTAACAGGAAAACGATGTAGAAGTGAAGAGTGAAGTGAGTGAAGAGTGAAGTGAGTGAAGAGATAAGATAGTGAAATGTTGGTATGGTGGATGTGGATGGTTCTGAAGTTAAAATTGGGGTCAGAAATTTGTGAGAGGAAGGTGTGACGATATTGTATAAAAAGGGGTGTTTGAAGAACCACAAGATTATGTAGGAATAAGTTGTTGACGTTTGTATAGGAAAATAAGGCAAAGAAAATAGGACAGTATTGTGAAGTGTGGACTATGAAAAAAGTTGACGATGTAAAGGTTGAAAGTCACGGTTGAAAGATACATGGCGATTAACACAATTGGGGCTTTTTTGTTTTTCTTTGACTATTTCCAAGTCTTCATATAGGTCTAATTTTAGAGAATTTTTTTGGGGAATAGTCTTTGTTACATAATATTCCCCAAAAAAATTTTCTAAAATTAGACCTATATGAAGACTTGGAAATAGTCAAAGAAAAACAAAAAAGCCCCAATTGTGTTAATCGCCATGTATCTTTCAACCGTGACTTTCAACCTTTACATCGTCAACTTTTTTCATAGTCCACACTTCACAATACTGTCCTATTTTCTTTGCCTTATTTTCCTATACAAACGTCAACAACTTATTCCTACATAATCTTGTGGTTCTTCAAACACCCCTTTTTATACAATATCGTCACACCTTCCTCTCACAAATTTCTGACCCCAATTTTAACTTCAGAACCATCCACATCCACCATACCAACATTTCACTATCTTATCTCTTCACTCACTTCACTCTTCACTCACTTCACTCTTCACTTCTACATCGTTTTCCTGTTAATTTTGTTCTCTTTCATTATTTCTTGGTCAATTCATATATTAAACATGTATCCAATAGTTTTAATTTAGTAATCACTTAAACATTATCTAACAATTTATTAAAATTCATAATCTACCATATTACATAGAATCCTAATCTACCTTTGTCCACCTTCTTTCGGTCAACAACTTAGTAGCACACTTATACAACAAATTTCAGGTTTCTACAAACTGAATTTAATACCACCTAAATAGATTTTGTTCAGGGTGCTAGATACTTTAAGTATAAAGGACCCCTATTATCTCTAATTGTTGATCAACTCCTTTTCTCCTTCAACCCCCCCCTCCTTTCATTTCTTTTACTTTCATTCTCTTCAGTCTCTGAGGAACCCAGTCTCTTCGATTTAAAATTCAATCACATATGTTACTACTTCAATATCTTCAGCCTGTAGATTTCCATCTTACTAAACTTAATTTTATTAATTCTTCACCATAGGAGCATTCCTAAATAAAGTCATTTAAATATGAGGTCTGATATTAGCTTCAAATATTTGTTATTTAATTTTTACCTTGTCCTAGATGTGTTAAACATAAAAGGATAAATTTCACAAATACAAGCTAACCCAAAAATTAAATACACTTTAGACCACATTCCATACGACGAAAAGCAACATAAGTTGCCTAAGGCACAGGTCATTATATTAATCATGACTATAAAACCATCATTGATTTGACATCTTTTATACCCTAAATTAATAAATAAAAAGTTTTTAAATCCCAACACCTAGATTGTTTTTATTTTTAAAATCATCAAAACTTGTTGAATCTTTTGGCTGTAGTAATACTATGTACAACTTTTATAGTTTTTGTTGCATTGACATTCTGTTATCTTCATCCTTCAAAAGTATCTTGTCAATCAGTTCCACGTTGTTCTCCGAGTGCAGAGGTTGTCTCTCGCCCGGCTCTGGAACCCATTTGAGCCATGTGTTACCTTTGGTCAAATTTAATTTAATATATAACATCACAGTTATTTTATAACACAATGTACAACATTTCATAACTAAATGTAATTTAAAGGGTTTTTACCCTAATATTTTGGTGGCTCAGGCATTATGACCTAGTAAGTATAACCATCTTTTGCTTTTCAACCTTAGTCAAAATTTCAAAATCTCGTTTGTTTTAACTAAATGGTTTATACTTATTTTTAGGCATTTTCGATTTTAATAACCTGATGATGGACTGTGTAGTCCGAAAACGTTTGTTCTATTGATGTGGCCCTTTTAAGGGTTTTTTAAATAAATATACCCATTTACAAAGATTAACCTCTTTTAGTTTTTACAAAGTTTCCTACAATTTCTAACACTTCTTGCCTTGATAGGCCGTTTCCCCATTTCTCCATCGTTTTTATATCATTGGCTAATCTAACTTGGCGTCAGCAGTAGAAATTGACGTTGGACGTCTTTTAGTTGCATTTACTGCTTCCCGTTTACCTTTTACACTAAAATGTAGGGTCACATATGTTATTTTGTATAATTTTGCGGCCTTATAAATTGATGTTCGATCTGCTAAAACATCAAAAATTGCAGCGTTGAGATCAGCTGCCAAATATTTTTCTTCATTTGAAGTTTTTTTTTTCTAGCAGCGAACCATGGTATGTATAACAAAAAATAAACCTTGCAAAACTTGCTCTATCACTGTTTAAATTTTAAATTCAAGAAGTTAAATAAACAGTGTAACTGTGATACACTAATGACACATTTGCCCCAATCTGTATTAATACATTTACCCCAACAACAAAATTCCAAGGGGCAAATAATGTGTTATAACAAAAATTTGAGGTTAATGTTAAGTTTTTATTTAAAGAACCTAAACCATAATATTCTCTCAAACTAGAATAAACTGTTATGCCAATTAAAATTATCATAATAGTCTTACTTACCGAAAAAATAATACAATACTTCACGAACGGGGTAAATGTATAACAAATTTTGTGTTGAATTCGAACACACTCGCCGGCTATCCCTACTCTACTAAAATATGTTTTTGGATTTACGTAGTTTCTAGTGGTGGCTCACTAGACTAACATATTTTAGGTTCCGTCTAATAGGTGGCATACTCATAATTATTTAAATAGTCATTTTTAAATGCACTATTACAATTGCCCCATTATCACATATACCCCATTTCACCTTATCTAATATTTGTCTTAGTGTTACCCTATAATTTAATATTGGTTTTGAATATTGCTTTTGATATACATTGTCCGGACCTGCTGACTTATTGTTTTTTAGTGCTGCAATGGCATCTTCTATCTCCGATTTAAGGATTGAAGGTTCTGTTTCTCCTTCTTCATATCATCAGTCCTGTCAGATGCAAATAATTTTTCTATGTAGGATTTCCATATCTTCAAGATCGTTGATGGGTCCGAGATAAGATTTCCATCGCTATCTTTTATGCTGTTGGGTGACTTATTGTATTTCGTTTGTCATCGATTTTATTTTTGGTGCATATTGTAACTGTCGTATTTTCGTTCGTATTGTTTTATTTCCCTGCATTCGTTGGAAAACCATTTTTCTTTGGCTTCTCGAATTTTCGTTCTTATGGTTTTGTGGATCTGCTTGTATTTTTCTGCATTTTTATTCTTGAATTTACGTCTTTCATCCATCATATCCATTATCTCATCAGACATCCAGATTTCTTTTTCCGTCGGTCACGCTTTAATAGAGTCGCGCATGTTGTTTGGATTGCTTCCCTCTACATTTTACTGTTAGTTTTTGCAAGAATTGCTGTGAGTGTTTAATACTAATAAGTTGTTGGGTTGTGTGCTAAAGGTTGTAAAATGTCTAAAAGGAACTTTGGCAGTCTGCTGCAAGGAGAGCAGTACTCATGCTAAGAAGCAATTTACAATTTTCAAAAATTTTCAAATTTTTTTTTGAAAACGATTTTTGTAGTTAATATCAAACATCAAACATTAGTTAAAAGTGTAATTATTATTACAATCAATTGTGGCTTTATCATATATAAATACATTATTTAAAGTTAGTTGACTTTAAATTGTACAGTTGTTTATAATTTAACATTTAATCAACAAATAATATTTTGCTATCACTGTACATTTATTCTTCTTTGTTATAGGTAGAATGCTAACCCAACTGGATGTATCTCAGAACAGCTTAACCACCGTTCCATCAGCTGCATTTAAAAATCTCGACCAATTACTTATTTTGAACATGAACCACAATAAAGTAACCGGTTTGCACGCGAAAGCTTTCCAGGGCTTAAACACGTTGGAAATACTGACGTTGTATGAGAATAAGATCACCAATATCGATACCGAAGCTTTCGTGGGGCTTGAGAAGTAAGTTGAAATATTGTTCTCTTACAGAAACTTATTTTTGTAAAAAGAAACAAAGAGTGTGCATGAAATCGTTGTGGGAATTTTAAAACTATGGAAAGATTTATTTCATTTTATTGCAATTTTCTTTAAACGAAACATTTTTGTTCGTTGGAAAATTGATGACCTAAATAATGTTTACTTACATAGTTTTGATATTTCATGATGTATAAAAATAATTAAGTAATATTAACCCTTAATTTTATGGATTTTAAGTACGGACACTAAAAATCATTTGATGTTTTAATAAATTAAAAAATTCTCCAAGACTAATTTTTGATATGGCTTTCCCCCTATTTGGAGAATATAGAATGTGTACTCTATAGGCAACATTATGCAATAAAACTACATATTGTGGTGTTGTAGTGAAACTACATTTTTATGAAAGTTGTAGTAAGCAAAGAAATGTTTTACGTTTTTGACAGTGAACTTTGGAAGTTCCTTTACATAAGGATATTTACATTTTCTTTTACATTAAAAATATATGGGCCAATGACTCATTTGATCTTTTCTAACTTATTCGCGACGAATAGGTGCTGTTGCATGGTATTTCTTTTCCTTTTCCTCGTACGCCGTGGACACAGTGAAACTAGAAGAACGCCCTCTTTTAGAATAATTTAGATGATTTTTCAAACAACGGGTTTTTGAGATTTCTGCTTTGAATTCTAGAAGAGGCAACTGTTTGGTTTTTTGTTGGATATTTTTTTAACAAGTTCACTGTCCAATGAATCATATATCATTTAAAGAGCGTGCTTATAACCCTAATTTGTTATTTTGTAGGCAGTTTTAAAATATAACGTAATAATACAGTATGTTAAGTTTTGAATTAGATATTGCAAACTACATAAAGCGCTTAAATTAGCAACATTATAGGACATTATAGACAGGATCGTACTATTATTTTCGATTTGTATTACTTATTCGGTTTTTAGGTATATTTAAAAGCCGGTTTTGATTCCTATTTCAGAAGCCAACGAGTAAACATCGGGCTTCCTACTAATAGTATTTTGAATAAAAACTTGTTAGTTTAATGTGATTGTTTATCAAGCAAATATTGGTAAGTCGATATCAGTTAAATTAATACTTTCGACAAATAAAATTAGGCCAGTCGTTTTTGGCCATACTTAATATTTTGGCATCCAAAATATTAAAATTAAATATGGCATCATCTTCACAAACAGCTCAACCTAGCTTCGCTGCAGTAACCAAAATAACACAGAAAAAATCTACAACAGCAACATCATGTCCTAGTAGAACTCAAGCCATTGTTATGAACGCTATCCCAGACGTAGTACTATTTGATTACATAAAGGCAATCGGCGAAATTGTTACCCCTAAAGAAATAACCTTTGCTTTACGTATTTCTAATCAACGTATATGCATCTATCTTTCTTCCGTAACCGTAGTAGATAATCTTCTAAAAAATAATCCTACTATTTCGATTAGAAATCAAACAATATCTATTCGTAGACTTATCACTCCTGCAAAGAGGCTACTACTTTCTAACGTGTGTCCTTCGATTCCGAATGCACTCATAGAGCAAGCACTTAAAAATGAACTTGGATTACAACTTGCTTCCCCTATCTCGCATATCCGTTGTAGTTCTCCGGAAGACGAATATGCTCACATCTTCAGTTTTCGACGCTCAGTCTTTGTGATACCAAATAAAGAATACTTTGAGTTAAATACTTCAATTGTAATCTCATATGAAAATACAAATTATAGGATCTTTATTACTTCGGACAAACTTGAATGCTTTTTATGTAAGCAATCCGGACACACTGCAGACTCCTGCCCTAACCCTCAAGAAATATCTAGCAATCCCTCTCCAAATACAACTTCTAGCCAAAATCCAGTCGATCCTCATTCTAGTATATCTCCTCTTTCACCCTCCACAAAAAAAGAAATCTATTCAAATAACCCACCTACTGACATAACAACCCCAAATGAACAGTCTATAACACCATTATCTGTCCCTTCTAACTCTGGCATAAAAAGAACTCATTCCACTGACACAAGTCTTGAATCACCTTCTCTACTGGTTACCGCTAGCCCCCTAAACTTAAACTCTAATAACACACCAAACACAACAACCTTCGCAACTCCTAAATCAGCTCCTAAAAAGAAAACAAAAACTGATGACAAAGAAATTTGTAAAATTAGTCTATGTGCCCATTCAAGTATTGAAAAATTAATTTGTGCGAATCCAGAAAAATTGTCGTTATCAGCATTACAAATAATTGCCTTCCTAGAAAATTCCTTTGGAAGTAGTGATCCCCTCAAAGAAGCTCATAATTTCACCACGAACATTCATTCTCTCCTCGAAGATCTTACTCAAATATACCAAACTGTATCCGATAGATCACTTAAAAATCGCATTACAAGAATAACGAAAAAGCTAAAACGCACATTAAATTCTATAGACGCTGACGAACTTACCAGCCTTACGTCCAATAATTCATGTGACTCTAACTGCAATGATATCGATCCTTTCTAAAATTACTTAATTAGTACAAGGTAAATTCTTTCTACTAACCAAATAAGTTTATCAAATTTACTATTTTACAATGGAACTGCGACGGATACTATCCGCGCCTTGAACACATTCAATATCTTATATCAATTTACCATCCAGATTTTCTTTGTCTCCAAGAGACTAATTTTAATACAACGAATATTCCTCATCTTAAATCCTTTGAAGGATACCACTTCATTAGAACGAACTGCTTAAGAGCCAGTGGAGGTGCATCTATATTTGCGTCCAGCGAAATCTTCTCAACAATGCTACCATTAATAACGAATCTTGAGGCAATTGCCATAACTACATATTGCCCTAATAAACTAACCATTTGCTCCATATATATTCCCCCAAACCATTCTTTAAAAGAAGAAGAGCTCCTAGACCTTATATTCCAACTTCCACAGCCGTTTATTCTCACAGGAGACTTCAATGCACATAACGTTATGTGGGGTTCTCAATCCACATTTGGACGGGGAAAAGTAGTTGAAAATATTATTAACTGCACAAACCCATGTCTTCTTAACACAGGATCTAACACTCATTTTAATATTTCATCTGGATCTTTCTCTGCTATAGATCTTAGCATTAGTGACCCTAAATCTGCACCTTTTTTAACCTGGCAAACAGCTGACGATCTCTTTGATAGCAATCATTATCCTATAATAATTTCCAACAATTCTAATGGGACTGCCTCTGCCAAAAGCTATTGGCGCCTAAAAAAAGCTAACTGGCCAGAGTATTCAAAAGCCGTTGACACTCTCTTGCTCGCGCATGATCATCTAATAATAAACGATGTAGACTATTTGTTAACGTCAATAACAGACACTATTCTTTCAGCTGCTAAGACTCATATTGGCAAAACATCATTCTCTCCAAATCATAAAGTAGTTCCTTGGTGGAACTCTTCTTGTGAAGAGGCGATTCGTCTATCCAAAAAAGCTTTAAATAAGTACCAAAAAAACAGAAGCCTTGAAAATCTAATAAATTACAAAAAATTCAAAGCCAAGGCCAAACACGTAGTCAAAAAAAGTAAAAAATCATCCTGGCAAGATTACGTATCATCTATCAACGAAAACTCCAATCCTAGCCAAATTTGGAAAAAAATACGACAAATTCAAGGTCACAAAACTAATAATAAAATTACTCGTTTAATTACAAATGGTATAGAGATCGCTTTATACGAACTTATTCCTAACGCCTTTGCCAAACATTTCGAAGACAAGTTCAGAAATAAAACCAATAATATTGCTTTGTCTCATCATGACTTATATTCACACAGAAATCATCTGATATCATCTAAACATAGTAGATCCCTTAATTCTCCTTTCACTATGCATGAGCTAATATCTGCCTTAGCTAATAGTAGAAACACTGCAGCTGGACCCGATGATATTCCTTATGCATTCCTAAAGCACTTGTATAATTATAGTCTTAAAAAACTCCTTAATTTATACAATATAATCTGGAGTTCCCATAAATTTCCATCTCAATGGAGCAAATCTATAGTTATACCAATACTCAAGCCAAACCAGCCAACTATGTTTCCACAATCTTACAGGCCCATCTCTCTCACATGCACTATGTGTAAGCTAATGGAAAAAATGATTAACAAACGTCTTTTGTGGTATTTTGAAAAACATAAGATTATTCCAAAGGAACAATCTGGCTACCAAAGACAGCGCTCCACAAGAGATAATCTAGTAATACTCCAAACCCACATCTCCAACGCAATAAATTGCAAGCAAGATTTGATAGCAACTATCTTTGATATAGAAGGCGCATTTGACACCATCTCTAGAAATGCAATCCTTGACAAACTTTTTGAATGTAACCTTACTGGCAACATATACGCATTTATCAAAAACTTCCTAACATCTAGATCGTTCAGGGTTTCTGTCAATAACTTCCTTTCTTCTCCACACATCCAATATGATGGAGTTCCGCAAGGTTCAGTTTTAAGCACATCCTTATTCATTCTTTCGATTAGCAAGTTAAGTGAAAATATAGCTCCACCAATCAAATGCGTATTATATGCCAATGACCTAATAATGTACTGTCATGGTAAATCCAACGCAACTACTAGTAAAATTCTACAAGTAGGAGTAAATGACCTACAAAACAAAGTAGCTTCTCTAGGACTTACCCTCTCCCACTCTAAATCCAAAGTTATTAAATTTAGCAGAAGAATGAGTTCTTTTGATCCGGAAATCACTATCAACAACTTCAAGTTACCGGTTGTTGATAATTGCAAAATATTAGGGCTGATATTTGATTCAAGATTAACCTGGAAACAACACATACAGGAACTTAAAGGAGTTTGCCTAAAAAGGTTAAATATACTCAAAACACTCTCACATTATCATTGGGGCGCGGAAGAAACTACTTTACTGAAAGTCTACAGATCACTTATCCGCTCTAAGCTAGACTATGGATGTTTCGTCTA